TCTCGGACCGCATTCGTGAACACAAAGCAGACCTAAAACATGGTAGGACCAGCACCTTGGCCGTGGCAGATCACTGTTATAATTCGGTAGGCTCACATGACATTGACTTCTTCAAGACAGAGGTTCTTTGCAAGCCATCTGGCTACCATGAGAGATTCGTTAATGAGGCTATCTACATATACAAACACAGAGACAATTTCAACCGAGAAGATGGATTCTGGCTTAGCAATCATTGGAAGGATTTTGTAAACCATTTCGGGTCTTAATTGATTGTTCACGCTTACGGTTGCTTTCAGACCGCATCCATTATTTTCGTCTCCCCTCTCCTCTTTTCCAAACATAGATGGACTCGTCCATCTGAATAACTGCCAAATCGCTCTCCGTGGTGCTAACGTTAAAAAAACGCCACTTTTTTCAAATTTTATTGCTGTGGTTTTCACACCTGATGATGATGATGATTGCTTGTGTTGCAGTCGAAACGTCGTGAGAATTTTATTGTTTTATATTTTTATGATTTTATTGTTTCCCTTCTACATGACTTTACCGAAAGAACCAAGAATATAAATTAAACATTGTTTATAGTTTTATAGGAGTTTGTAGTTCTCATCGCTGTAATATGCTGAATTAAGTTAGAAGAAGAAAAAATGTGGATTGTCTCTGTGCAGGCAGGGGTGGCCTGGCTGAGACCATCAATGCACTACACTTGACAGCATGGTTTAACCTAGGATAGCTGCCCGCATTCAAACCTAGGTGCTCAGCGGCACGGTCCAATGCTCTTACATCGATGTTATCTCCTTGACAAAGTTTTCAGCATCTCATTTTTAATTCAAACTGTTTCAACGTGTTGCTGTTTTAGCGACTTAATGTGTGCGGGTAGCGTATATGCAATGAATTACAAATTGATAAATGAACTTGCTCCCTGTTTAGTTGATAATTCATCTTTATGAAACAGGACTTACTTAGACCCCATAAGCCATGGAACCCATCGCAAAGACATAGGTTATGCTGATTGGCCAATTCAAATCAAAGCCCAACAAGAACGTCACCTCCCACTGAGAGTAATACTCCCTGTAATTCACGTGCGGTGCACTACATTTGCTATTAATTTATAGTTGTTGTTTACCATGATTATTTTATTTTACTACAGTCGGCGATGTTCCAGTGTAATTGGATGCGCCGGTTCAATTGTCGCTATTCTAGCATGAGTGAAGGTCACAGAGTGTCATCACAGTGCATCTCACGGAAGCAGTATGAGCCCGGCAACAAAGTCCCCATCGCTCACCTTGCTTTCTCTCAATAAATAATTAAACATCACAGCCGCCCGCTTGCTGCCGCTGCTGTTTGATCACGCATGTTGCTCTCCGCCTCTGTGTATCAACAAGTGTAAGTGATCAATAGCCAACTGATGCGTGTGAGCATTGTGGACGCAAACGTATAAGTGGTGGTCAAAAAGTTTTGGGAATGAGCTGCTATGGTTTTGATTTCATTATGACTGTTGTTTTGTGGCAATGTCAGAAAAGCTGAGCTGGGATATCCAATACATTAAGTAATGGATTGCTTGAGAGATTATTGGTTTGATTGCTAGAGCAATCAAATAACACAAAAATAGTTGGAAAGAAAAGTCTCACCCCTGTTTCCCACATGTGCCACTGGAAGGGTGCAGTCACAAAAATCATCAGCCACGTCACGCTGGCTGTGGCTTGTCAGGAGGGGGTTTCCCACCTTTGGGAGGAAGGATATAGAGGTGGCTGTTAGATTTAAAGTTGTTCGAGTATTCGATGACAATAAACTCCTTAAGAAAGTTTTTTTTTTTCAAACAACGGTTTAATTCACAACTGGCGCACCTTAGACACGTGGCGCCTGGTTCTTGGGCGAGGTGATTAAAGAGTTTAGGGACCGTGGCATTTTTGACCACCTACACAAATATATATAAATAATAAGGCGTCCATACAAAATGTTATTTGCTTTAAAGTAGCAGATTAATTGATTAATTGATACAGGCATGCATTGTCACCGGATCTGAGTACGTGTGCAAAATTTGGAATTGATTGGACAACAGGAAGTAGACTAAATTTGATAAGATTTGACCATGACACAAGAGTCAAGTGAAGTAAAACCGTTGAAAAAAAGTAGTCCATTATAATTTTTAGTTGATTAATCAAAGAATCATCACAGGTCTAAATAAAAGTCTCCATGCTCAATTGGACGTAGCGTGGGACTCATTACCCTTGGCAATCTTGAGCCAGTGAGTTGTGAAAATTCAATATTTCTTTGCAGAGTTCAGTTTATACATCACCACAAACCCTTTATAATCGCGGGTTTTGTGATTACTGTTTTGCGCATTCACAACAAATGTATTGTAGTGCTATATGAAATATTTGCGGCCATAGCACCTGACTGCCCGACAAGAGTTTGTGAGGAATGGGAGCGGTATAGATCGTGAGACCGCGAAAGTTGCCCACGTTACACTCTCCCTCTCAGTCTACCTTTGTATGCCTGCACTTTATCCACCACGTGGGTGCTTTCATGAAAAAAATACGTCCTGTATAATATATATTCGCACTTTTAAATAATAATACTTTCATTTTATATAGCACCATTCATGTCAACAGCATCCCACAACGCTGTACATTAATTATATATAAGGACCAAATCCAATATACGCGGTTGGCTACATTTTAGAGAAGCCCAACACACACATACCATCATTATTTAAAGGCAAGTTGAATAACACAATAATACTATACAATAAGTGTATTCATTAATATATACACACAGTTTATATGTTTATGTTAAAAGTAATATATGTTGATGCCCATAACCCTATTTTCCTCATGAGATTTACCTATTAATATGCATATCTCTCCTCTCTCACACCTGAAGACGATTGCTTGTGTTGCAATCGAAACGTCGTGATATTTGGATTATTTTTCTATCTACGTGGCTTTACTGAAAGACCCATAGAATAAATACTATTCGTATATTTATTATTCAAGATATTCCCTAGAAATGTGTCCCCGTGAATATTAAGGTTTTGACTAAACAGCCAGCAGTTTAACTTGCTCTTAACAGCTGAAATAGCGTGATTATATTGCTCCAAAGACAGGAACATCAAACACAGGCATTAATATGCCATTGTATTTGAGGTGGATCATGGTTAAGTTCTATACTGCAGTTTTACAGAAAGAAAATTGTTCCAAATAACCTTTCACTGTAGGAAATAAAGCTGAACAATTGTCACTTTGGGTGCAAGCATGTAGAAAGTGTAACATCTGATAATCGACTCGACAATGTGTGATAAACATAGAAAAACTCATGCAATTTTAAATATTGTTTAATTATGAACAGCTAACATATATTTCAATAAAGAGAGCGTAATTGCCCAAGATAATAAAAAGCAGTTATATTAAATACTCAAAATCGAAAAAAATACGTAATTAAAATTGCAATTACGATAAGGCCCATCCTGCCATGTGCATTGTCTTGTGTAATATATATTTAATACATATGCTGAGGCCATGGGTTTGCCTTAAGCACTGTTTTAATGGCATACTTTGATTTTTTACTGCATATCAACAGTGACGTGATATTAATCAGGACTATATTTCCCACTGCATGTAAGTGTGAAGTCGTTGCTATTTGTTTGTGGGTAATAGGATACACACTGCAGTAACATCCACATATGTGCTCGTGCACTGGTATGTTAAGGTTGCTCATTGTCCAAGTAATTTAACATGTACGTTAATTTTACTATATTGGGCATATTCATGGAAATATTTAGTGGAGATTATGGAATGTCTGATTTGTGACCTCTGTTTGAAAACATTACACTTCTCATGAGTGATAGAGCAGTTGTGGAGAGATTATAAAAGTTTCCATACCTGGGCAGTGTGCTTACTCCAGTTTGGCAGTGGAGGTGTCACTCCACATAAGCTGTGTACCGTAGATACTACCTGGCCGATCACTCCATACAAACCTCTGTGTCTTCTCGAACGCAATTATGCCCTCATTTATCTTTGCCTATGAAACGTGGAGCCCTTTAAATTGATATCTGCACTGGTAAAAACCGTCAGGCAAGCCTGCCTATGATCCATCCTGGGTTTAACCAGACTGGATTGTGTGTGGAGGTCACATATCCTTGAAAGATCTGGACACAGTCCCATCAGTGAGCTTCTCTGGCAGGCGAGGCTGCATTGTCTGGGGCATCTAGCCTATATGCCTTGCTACCGCATCCCCAAGCAGCTTTTGTTTTGCTGGATAGAGAGGCCAAACTTTGTGGCACGGGCTAGAGAAGAGATGGACTGATGAGGTACAGAAAGTTGTGGCGCTTATTGGACGGCATATGGCTGTTGCTAGCAGTGTCAAGATCAGCCTCTGTGGAGGAGGCTTGTGAAGAACGCTACTGGGATAATGGAGGGATTTTGCACTCCAACAACAATAGAAGACAGAGGAGTGACGCTCACAACAACAAGCGCCTATAATGCAATGAGGTGGCACAGTGGGGAGCACAGGTGGTGCAAGTCATTTCACTCAGCCAACCCATAACACCTGGGTCTGTCCCATGACCTGCCAGCGAGGCTTCAACATTTCATATGGCATCAAGGTGCATCTAGCCTGGTACAAGTGCCGTGGTGACGTCACCGCCACTTAGTGGCGAACGGCGGTTGTTGTTCATATGGAGTGGTTGAACCATGGATAGCACAACTGTTCTATGAACCCAACTATGGATGAAATCAATGGCACGTTATTATCGAAACCTGACCTGTCTGGTTGTTATCCCTTATGTCAACAGTGATACATGAATATTCTATTTAGGATTTATATTGTGCCCTTTCCATGGGTATGTGGCACATTGTGCAAACACGAGCACTGGGTGTGGTGATGGCCGCACCAACTATGTCTTGCACCACTCCTGGCCTAAATAGGTGCTTACTAACAGAACGTGCCCCAGCAGTCTGTATGGTTACACGAGAGATATGTGCCTTTGTTTTTGTGTGCAGCCGTGCGAGGTTGACACTGTGCGGATCCGCTCGCGGTTCATACAGCGAATGCCAGCAGATGGAGAGATGTGCCCCGATGACACCGAGTCAGAGCCATGCACCCCACAGCACTCCTGCTTCTACTATCACTACAATGCGACCGGTGCGTGTGTGTGCACTCATGGTTGCGTGTACGTATCGGTTTGCGTATGCCGACAACTGTGATTTATGCTGTTTGCTGCTGTTTTTTTATAGCTGACTGCCATGCAAACCATTTTTGTGTTTCGTGTTCATAAGCAATAAACGTAAAAATAACACCGATGACCAAATCACTCAGAATGCACCCAACCCTGTCAGACCTTGCAAGCAAAGCAGAGTTGAGCCTGGGTAGTGCTTGGATGCGTGACCATCATGCATGTAACAGGTGGTGTGGCCAGTAGTGAGCAGTGCTTCAAATTGAAATGTTCTGTACTGCCGCCAGACCTTCACCGACCGGCATGACCCTCACTGCACAGTGTGATGAGGCCCTCATCCAGAAGTGGATTGATAAATCGACTATTCATGTGCATGTTCAAGAATGTTTGAAGTCTTAAATCGAGGATTTATTTTGGTAAGATTTTTAGACAGCTTTCGTTGATCAAAACATCAGATTTCTTAGACTCCTGAAGGGACACTTTTGTCCATTGGATTGGTAATTACTATCGCCCCTTTTTGGATTGGTGCCATCTGCCGTTGTGTAGCCACTGCATGCTCTGCCAACATTTTCCCAAAAAGTAAATGCTTTATTCTTCATTAAAACGTAGTAGGGAAACACACGTTCAGACGCAACGCTCGTCAAATGTTCTGAGAAGGAACATTTTAAGCGTGTGCATACCACTTTAATAGCACATTCTGCTTGTAGAGTTCAATAACTTCTTTATTCTAGCCCATTATAAATACATTGCGTGCACGTGCTGAACTTTGTAATCCATATATCATAGGGAGGTAATATGCACTGACTGAAAACTTCAAGCACTGGTATTTTGCTTCTCACTAAAAACAATTAACAAAAATATTGTGCTCTCATTTACCTATTTATTTAATAATGTTCATTCAGATCCTACCGAACATAATTGTTCTAGCTATGAATATTATTATTGGTTTTGCAAGTTGTGTTTTTGAGTTGTCTAACTTTGCAATTATATTTGTTAAGTTCATTTTCAATCCTTTCCCGCAATTAATTTCCATTGACCATTACAACGACTATGTCATGAAAAAAAATCTGACGTTGTTAACCATTTCTTTATTTATGTTTATGCCTTTATTACTCCAGTCTAATTTTTGGACAATATTTTCTTATTCGGCTGTGAATAGCCATTGTGAGAGAGTGTCTCCTTGTCTGACTCTTCATTGGATTCGTATTTTGGTGCTTATTCATGCAATCTCATTGTAACTTTTCATTTATTATAGATGACTTTGGCCATTTCTATATAAGCTTGCTTCATTAAGGCCTTGGCTTGTGAAAATTGCATCACTTTTGCCTGCATTAAATGCCTTTTTCATAATTGACAAAAGCCAGGCATAATTATATTTGGTATTTGTTTATCTTTTCTCAGATCTAATTTATAGTATATATGTGATCAATGGAAGAAAATCTTTCAAAATCCAGCTTGCTGGTTGATTGGCCTATACCTTATCCTTTCTTTGGTTCCCCACGATCTCCATGAACAATTTATAGGCTTGTGATATGAGGCTTATTGATCTGTCTTTTTCAAATCAGTATATTTTTCCCTTTTGAAGAGAATAATGGTTGAGGCATCACTCCACTAATGATCGTTTTAATTTATCAGTCAAATTTTTGTAAAAAAAGTTTAGCCTATCATATTTTAAAAGATGGTCCAACTTCTTTGATGGTGTTAACAATTATTTTATCTGGTTGGGAGCTTTCGGTGTTTTCACACTGAAGGGTGGTAGTTATTTCTTCAAATTTGACATTTGGAATCTCCTCGTTGTCTAAACCATATTTTTCCCCTGAAGTATGTGATTTGTAATTTTTTGCTATATAAATCTGCATAATAATCCTTCCATACCATGCATTCTTGTTCAATACTGATCCCTCAAGGGCCACAATTTGTTATTTACCAATCATGCATTTAAATGTTGCTGCTTATATGCTCCCATTACATCGTGTAACATCGTCAGTCACTTTTTTGTTGTGTCCTCTGATTTCCGTTTCCATTGTTTTCCTAATGGTTGTATGGATAAATTGTACTATAGGGTTGTGGTGTGCGCAGTGTTGATCCAAGAATAGCTCGTTTCTGTGCTTCACAATAATATGCCGAGGCACCTCTAAAGTTGACTTGATAATCACACATCAGTGTGTTTGATAACGACATGCCAAGTATCATTTTACTCGTGTATGTATCCATCTACTGGCTTGCAGCGGTGTGTACTGGGAGTTGGAGGGAAAGTTACTTTGTTTGGGCATTGTGGTATACGTGTTTTGGATAAGGCAATGTATATTTGGTGCATGTTTTAAATGTTGTTTTTATGTGCTCAAGTGGTTTGTAAAATGACTAAGGCCTGATACTCGGTCCTGTTGCTACTTCGAGTCTGCAGTTCATTTCCTGCACCCACTCTAATTTCTAAAGGGAATTACCAAAGTATAACGTGTGTTGTAAAGTCAAATTGATATAACATGGTTTGGCATCGCACATTCAATGAAGCCTTTGTGCTCAAGTTTTCAACCCAAATCTCAAAGTATAAAGTGACGTAAAACAATTAAAAATAATATTTCACCCTTAACAAATACATGACTAATTTAGATTTGTATAGCATCCTAATACTAGGAGGAACTCTAGACCCTGTACAGGAACAGCTATCCCCATCAATTGGTATGGAGGAGACATCATTTAACACAGTGACCAAGCACACATAACCGTAAAACAAAAGGTGAAAATTGGCTTAAAATGTGATCAAATTAAAACTCTATCTAACCAGATGCTAAAATCATATGCGGTGTCACTCTATAGTCATCCTGGTGTCATTTAAAAATACAGGACAACCCCTCTTAACGACCACCCCTGTTAACAACTAATCACTTAACGACGGGCTTCCATAGAGCCCAATGTATTTGCTTACTGACCATTCCCCTGTTAGCGATGGGCTGTTGTAGGTACATTAAATTTTAATTATTGCATTGATTAATGATATTTATTTTAATAGCATTTGCTTATAATGTTGTTATTATATTTATGTATTAATATCCATTATTTTAATATTATAAAGTATTGTTTTTTGGGTGAAAAAGGGTAACTTTCGATGCTATCGGAACGAATTTAGCCTTTAACATTTATTTCCTATACTCGCTTAATGACCAAATCACTTAACGACCGTTGTTGTGGAACCAATTAAAGTCGTTAAGAGGGGTTCTACTGTAAAGCTCACGGATCCCGAAGAGCTGTCATACTGGTCAAGAAAAGAGCATACTGTGCTGTTATATATGTGTGTGTGCTCTCTTGTGGCATGCACGCTCTCTGTGTATTGCTCACAATGCAGGATGGGGGTCGTGTATGCTGGGCGGCCCTGCGGTGTGTGGCCAGGGCAGCCGGGCACGTGCCCTGGAGTGCGTTCGTAACGACCTCAAGCCTGTGGACTTGCGCATCTGCCAGGCGGTGAGCAATGGGCGCATCTCACAAAGTTCTTGCCACAAATGAACCACCGATACTTTGCTGATCTCGTCAATGAGCATAAACCATCACACAAACTCTAGTAATTCTCGCAGCGGCTTTTGGCTGACATCGAACGAAGATGGTCACTGCATCACGCGCTCTCAGATGCGCTTCTGCGGCCGTCTGGAACACTCTTCCGATATTAGGAAGCCACTGAAGCTATGCACTTTTAAATCTAGATTGAAACGTATTTATTTAGAACTGCTTTTTGTGTTTAGCTTTCCTTCAACCGCACCTCCGATTAGCACAGTTGGCTAAAAACGGTATGAAATAAGTTCAATATACATGCAACTCTATCTCTTCCCACACCTTCGTTTCACGTGGCGAGGCAAAAGGATGGGTGAGGATATTGTGTGAATAGAGGCGTATTTATTATTTTAAATATTTTTTATATCAATGTCATCACTAATTGCGTTGTATTTGCATTATGAGTTATGTCATAAAGTGAAGAAATATAATTCTAAAACTCAGAACTCATCGTCCTGTTAGGGAACCAACCAAGATTGTGACACAACAGGGTACATTTTCAATTAAAGCTGGGATAAGAGGTAAAATGATTCCCAAGAGACTGCTGGTGGAAGGGCCTCCACAAGACGGAGCTCTGGAGAGCCCTTCTACAGGGTGTTTGGCCTACCCTTCCACGCTGGCCAGATATCTTGGACGAGGTGTAATTACTCACACACACTTTACCTCACCATACGAGACCTACTGATCAAGTTAACTGTGGTGAACCCTTTTATACTGCTGGGTTGATAAAAGCAGGGGTGTGCCCCGGGGGGAGTTTTAGAAACTTGCTCATTATTTAAATTGCCACAACGGGAGATTGAATTGACGCTAAGTGGACTGCAGAATAAATCATGCATTGTTAATCATATGCTAAATAGAGCTCCCTGAAAGCTATTTCCATTGCTTTTAGAGTTTTTAACTTCTGCACAAAACTGTCTAATGTTAGTGATTCCCTTATGACATTGGTTACTTTAAATGGTCATAATTATAGCATCCATTAAATAACACTCTTCTAGATATATGTTATTAACCAGGATATTCATTACTAGCTCTGGGATTTGGGACTTGTTGATGACGAGAAACTGCGCATGCTTCAGGGTGGGAACCACGGGGCAGACTGAAGCTAACAACCTTATTACATTTTGATTTAAAGCTTTCGTGACTGCAGTGATTCATATTCTTTGTTCTTTCGGTAAAGTCACGTTGAAGGGAAACAATAAAATATTAAAATATAAACCATTTCGGGTCTTAATTGATTGTTCACGCTTACGGTGGCTTTCAGACACCATACATTAATTTTTCATCTCCCCCCTCCTCTTTTCCGAATATAGATGGACTCGTCCTTCTAAACAAACTGTCAAATCGCTATCCGTGGTGCTAACGTTTAAAAGTAAATGAATACATACAAACCGCCACTTCTTTCAAATGTTTCTTGCCGTTGGTTTTCACACCTGATGATGACTGTTTGTGTTGCAGTCGAAACGTCGTGAGAATTTTATTGTTATATATATTTTATTATTATTTAATTGTTTCCCTTCAACGTGACTTTACCGAAAGAACCAAGAATATGAACCTTATTACAGTTATCTGAGCCCCTAGGCCTGATACAAGTTAGAACAAGTGATGGAAGTGATTGGTTAGGGGTGAAGAGGAAGGAGTAAGAGGATTGAGTATTGGTGGGAGAGCACTGGCTAATTCGTGTGTGCCCGTAACGCCTTTGGAATACCTACAATGAAGTACTACCGCCTTAGCTTTGGCAGTTGTGCTGTATAGCTCTCCGATGTGTTTTTGTATTGTATCGTGTTTTGTGCAGTACGATGTCCGAAGTTTGTCTTCACGTGATGGGACATCATGCCAGATATCATGCAGGACATCATCCCAAACAACATGTGGCGTTACAACCTGAACACATGAAATAGCCCTACAATGACGACTTCACCTTTTTTAGATATATTTCGCCTGGATAGATCCACTGAGATACATACATTTTAGTTATCAGGATGTGCAGAGCTCATCTTTCGAGATACATTTGCAGAGCAGCTGATTTGAGTCAGTTGTCAAATTACAGCACCCTTTATGACCTTTGTTGAATGATTTTGCTTGGGTATGAATGCCCACTTGCGACCGGTGACCACACACTTGGGCAACGCCATGCAAAAAGTCAGCGGTGTAAATCAACTTGTCGAACCTTTATGTTTATCATCTCAGCCGTGAGTGTGGTGAGCTTGCTGCTTGATTGCCCAGCCGTTTGATAGCACTTGCATGTGTGCAGTGCATGCCAACAGTAACAGTAACGCTGATGAACACATCCGTGATAAATTTGTCCAGTGTGTCATTAATATTGGCAAGGAACACCTCCCAGGCATCTGTCTTGGCCTTCTAATAGCAGTGGCACATCCAGCGATTGTCTCATAAAGAAGGGGGTTGTCACGATTCATGGGGTGGGTGTGAACGCCAAAATATTTGTGTTCAGTAAGAACACATTTTGCAGACCATTAGGAATGTCTCTCATCCACGTTCCTTTCTATTCACTCGCTGAGACGAAGACATCCGTTTAACATTATCCTGTTGTTCCCACTCGTTTTTTTTTACAAGGTTGGGTTGGCAAAACTGCATGTTACCTGCCAAGCCCTGTAGACTCACACAACGCACACATGCACATACCCATGTGCACACATACACACAATCTCATTCATAACAAAATACATTGTGCTGTTTCTCTTAGCTTCACAGCACCTCTGGGATACATTAAGCACAACAGTGTGTTAATATGTAATGCGAGTATCGTGCAAACTTAGCATATGAGTAAGCCTCATGCACAGGATCCTCGCCCTGAATGCCAGTACATTACAGCATCAATTATTCACGGGTGACTTAAAATTGTGCCCTGGATTATTGATGCTCTCGGCTCGTCCACTCGGAAATATATCCTATTTGGCTTCTGTCTGGCAAGAGCTACAAATCTGAGTGTGTTCACTGCTGGTGCGGCTCACGGGACTCACCTCGGTTCCTCGCCGCTCATCAACCCCCTGCCCCCACAAACTATGTTTATCCTGTGCCCCCCAACCATCACCACCTCCCCCAACACTCCCTCCTACCTCTCGTGGGCCCCCTTAGAATGCTACTAATTGCCGCTGTATATCATGGTGGTAGTGATGCGGCGTTGGATATGGTGTGTACTTCGGAGTGTTTGACCGAACAATTTGTGCCCTTGTGCATTTAAATTTTTCCCCTGGCATCTGCAACTGAGATTGTGTGTCATGTTAATGCGCTGCCATTGAACACTAAAGAGTGCCTTTTTACCGCCGTCAATTGCTGATTGAATTTACGCAGACAGTGCGTTGATCCTGAAAACATGCATGCATTCAAGCAGTAGTCTAAAAAGTCAACTTGTGAATATCAGATGTAAACAGTACCTTGTGTACTGACTTATCGTAATGCATGAACTGCAATACTGTATAAGTATTTTGATGTAACGTTAAGCTTCTCGCTATCGAATCATTTTGAATTTGCATTACATATGTAATGAGACGACTTCCGAGACAATACTTGTAGAGGGTATCTTATTTTTTTGTTAATGCTTTAATGACAGGGTCACAGAGTAACATAAGCGCTGACTGACTTATAGCTTAGCCATCCATACAGCGACATTGACGACGTACAACCATATAGCTGGCTGACTATATGGTAACGACGGCGATGAAGACTGTATAGCTGTCTAGCTATACAGCGACGACGACGAAGAGATGGCAGTGATGACAGTAACGACAGCCAGGACCCGAACCCCCACGACAGCCCCAAACTTCCGTTTGCCTCTCCCTTATAGTCACCCAGCGTGGCCAAGCCCCGTCCTTGGGAACGCCCCTCTTCTGGAACTCTCTCACGGGTTCCAGGATATTCCAGTTCGATCCCCTCTTTGACCCTTGACCCAGTTATGCCCCCCTTGTGGTCGCTTGCATATGTGTCGTTCTATCCTGCACCCATACCCTTAGTTAGCACCCCTAACCATCAGATGACACACTGTCATTACACATACATAGATCATAAAAAATACATAACATGAAAAAAAGACCTCACAATATAAAAGAGGAATCCATTGTTTTTTTACTCAGTTATTATTGCACATTTAAGATTCTTCTCCACATCGAATTCTTTTTTTTATTACTACATCTTTGACTGCTTCTGCAGCCTCGTGAAATAATTCCAAGTTTATTGAGCACTTTATACAACCTCTGTATTTACCGATAATAGAGTAAATCTCAAAAGAAAACGGATCTTAAATCGCGATTTAAGGTGGTCGTCACGTGGGGGGTGGGAGGACACTTGAAGGGAGTGCACGATGGCTCGCCAGAACGTTGAGCCCCCCACCACCATGGGGAGTGGGGAGAACATGGGTGGTGGTGCCGCCACTAATGGCCGATAATTAAAGCGGGTTTATCAGCCACAAGAGACGCCGTTCGCAGGTTTGCCATATTAAGGCCGCTTATTATTCTGCTGATGCAATTAAAGGGTGATGGATTGGTGGGCTGAAATGATATCTGGTAAAGCCATTAGCGTGAGCGATGAGGGGTGCGGTTAGGCATCTGTGTTGTGCGAGTGGGCACGGAAATGTAGGGGGTGGAGATGGTTAAGTGGGTGGGTGGTAGTGTGGCGAGGAGGAGGGTTTGCACGTGTTCTTCTTGCACAAGTAGAGGAATGAACTGTGGGGCCATGGTGGCCCAGGCGCTAGGTTCAATGTGCTGCCTTGAACTACCACTGCCAGCTTGCCTTTGTGCCCCAATACGGCAGGTACTTTACCTCCCACCGTTTCCTACTCATCGTGACCTCCAGTCTATCTGCAAACATAGCGCTCAAGTGTGAAAACATACAAACTTGTTCCTATGCATCTTCTTTTCCCTCCCGAGTGTGGTCGTAAACGTTCATGGGAATTCACCAGG